AATCAGGGTTTCAACTGTGAAAGCGAATGTGATATGTTACCCTCTCTTCTCACTCCATTTACGTTCTTTAGAGGAAAAGAATGTTGTGCTTAATGTATGATATGACAATCAAATTACAATGGGATTATATAACATGTATCACATCAGGCACTACCAGTAAAGTCGATTCCGTCGGGGAACGTATCTTATGGGGAATACTTTTAACGGACATTGTGACTTGTGTAGATATTATTTTTAATTAGGTAAATGTATGCCTACAGAACCCGGAGAAATCACAAATGTGTATTTCCCTTCCATTCTGTCAAAAATATTTATTATTCGTGATTAAAGCATCTAAGACAAAAGTTTGTTAATGACTTCGACTGCAATGAAGGTGTTAGTATTCAACAGTTGTTTTTTTAATTTCAATAGCAACGTAAACACGGGCTTAATCTAATGCCATTAAATAGTCCGCCAGGGAACCTATCATTCTTATATATAATTACACAGGGGAATATTATTACGTAGGCTTTCATTTCACATTGTGCCGCGTTCACTTCTGTATGACCGCCGGCTAGCACAACGTAACAAATATCGTAAACGACCTATCTCGACCTCAGGTTGGTAAAGCAACAACATGCAAATACGAGGGCAACCGATCAACACTAATCTCTCTCCCTCGATATCATATTCCGGGCCTCGAAGTTGTATTCTGACCTTCTGGTATCGTTGCGCATGGACATTGATTTTTTTTCTATGAATACAGTTGGTTAGATTGACTAAACGTAACAGACTAATTTTTAACGTTTCACAAATTCAGATATCCAGACCAAGCTGCATTATGGCGGAGTGGACATGAGTTGAGGAGACATTACAATGCATACTATTGTTTCCTTGCAGTTCGAGTGAAAACAGAGTGCTACAATGTGTAGTAAGTAGCGGCTCACAAATTTATACCCAACTTTGCGATCAGAAAATGGTTGTTAAATATGACCTCTGACCTTTGAAACTTGAACGCCTATGACCACCAAAATCTAATTAGATGTAAACTTTATTTCATTCTGTTGAAAAATTTACCACAATATACAACCGGATATTATTCAAGGGGATTAATTATGGAAATGAAAAACCCATTCCCGATTAACTTGAATACATTCTTTCATGTAGGGGCAGGTCTGCCACCCGTACGAAAATACTGAGACTATTGAAAGTGAGGGAGGTGGGTCATTATATCAAAATCTTATCCAAAATTCCACCTATGCGTATTACGAATTTTTGGATCCTTTTAGTTACTGTTGGTTATTATTCATCCTTTCTGGATTTTCTTTTGAATATTTGGCATTGTATACTATTTTTTAACTTAACATGGCCTCCTTTTTAAAATCGGAGAGGGACACAGTGTCATTTTTTTTTTATCAAATAGAAATAAATTTCACAAAAGTTTTTACAATTTAGCAATTTCCTCTCATGAAAACATTTTTTATCATAAACAACCAGATGAATCAAATATTCCAAAAAAAACCCATGAAAGACTTATATGCAACAAGGAGGGGAAAATTGTAAATCAATCACAATTATTTGAGAATAAAAAGAAAAAATAGTATTAAGTCCCACAAACCATCAGGTTTCAAATGATAGAACTAACGGACGTTCGGTACAATTACGACCAGTCCATTTCCCTCTGGGTCAAAATTATATTGACCATCTATATCTTGGATATCAAAAGTATGAATCTGTTCAGTTTTGACGATCAGCATTATTCAATCATTAATTTTCCACTTTAAATTTATTGTTACCTATTTTTAACTAATGGAGTACAATTCTTTTATTGTCGTTTCAACACTTTCTAGATAATTTTAGCTTGATCTATTCTTTAGCAATTGCAATTAATGGTTTTTGTTAAACTCTCTTATTTACCCTGATGGAAACACATTGGATGGAGAAAACCATGTGATAGGGTAGATTAAATAATACAAGTTTGGGAATCGAACCCAACTCATGCGACTTGGAAAAGCGGCACGCAGGGACGCAATGACGAAGCGAATACAATTTATACTTTTCAACTAAGTAAGGATTAAAAAAACTGAAATTATGCATTAAATTTCCGGTTATCCCTCTAGCATCACAACAAATTAGATATATGATTGTACATTAATGGAATGGTTACAGTTGTTAACAACTCCCTCCATCAGTTTCCTCTCTAAAACTCCGAAAACTACGGAAACGTAAATGGACCTCTACTTATTGTAATAAATGTCACTTTATCGACATAAGGTATGTCGACTTAACGACATTTTACTAGACATATCGTCATTTAAATGTCGACATTTCGTGTTATATCATAACTTGTCAAAATAGTTTACACGTAGAAAAATAATGTCGAAATGTAGAAACTCGTCTTAAAATGTATGTCGATAACTAAAAGTCGATGTATTGTGTTATATTATAATTTATCGTAATGATTAAGTTAATTATGGCGNAGGTCCATTTACGTTTTCGTACATCTCATCTGCTATCACGATTTTAATACAATACTATTATGAAGCAATTCATACGTTAAGTATCAATAAAGCGCCCGAAGTAATAAGTCGAGCGCTCGAGATAATATGTCTAGCGCTCGTCATAATTACATGTAGTAGAGTGGTCGACATAATAAGTCGAGCGCTCGAGATAATAAGTCGAGCGCTCGAGATAATATGTCAAGCGCTCGAGAGGTTATGTCTAGCGCTCGAGAAAATTAATGTAGAAAATAATAGTATGCATGTCTTGAATGAACCACCGTTAGCACCCAAACGTAGTGCATACAAGTCAAAAGCTCTTAATGAACAAACAAAAGCCATGTGTAAAAACGGATACAAGCAAATGTTTACACCTATTGAAAGCATGAGATGCCCCAAGGGATTGACAAAACACATGATACAAAGAGCACTTTACAACGCGTGTTAAAGCACTGACCTAGATTTATATATAAAATGGATGTAGATAAGTATAGAAAAAATAGATCTAACGACCGACGAAAAGCATTTGCATACTGTGCATGTTAACTAAGGGAGATGTACACAAGTTAAACTTGTATAAGGAATACATTGTACCAGGTAAGTATATTTATAACACCTCTGTTTCTCTTCCGAAGTGAATAGATATTCAATTGATAATGTGTCCACGTCACTCCTCACACCTTATTTTTTACCTTAAAATTAGTACCCACCGCAGATAGTAAATATTCTGAAATTCCCTTTGATATGCTTAGTTACGATCAGCGACTGACGGGTGATTTCTATATTAAGTATGACCTTTGTCACCCCGATCGTGCGTAGATAGGCTACCATGAAGTGGCTGAGATGAATCATTCTATCTAGATACCGCTCTGAATTTTAACAAACTTCAACAGTTTGAATAAATGTGTTTATAGACGGTTGAAGCGTGGTTTAATGACTTAGAATTACTTTTCATTCATGCAAGCACCTGTGGCTAAAGACACACCAACCAGGCGCGTAGCTACCATGTAAGCCAATAAGCCCGGGCTTGCACATGATTTTGACAAGTATAGGTTTTCATGACATTATTTTTTCTTGCTGATACTATACAGTGGAGTTTAAGTTTTGAATATATAGTATACATATGTAATTCCTCAGATATGATACAGTGTTAATAGTAAGTACAAAAATGTATGAAGTTTAGAAATGTCCATTGCATTAATGGACAGTTCCAGGCGGAACTAAACTGCTCGATTGAGTAAATTGAGAAACTCACGCCTGGCGCAAACGACTCCGAGTATGGCACAGTGGACACAGACAATCAATGTGGTGTTTTTTTTATGAAAATATCAATTTGGGGCACGTTCGGCCCCTTTTGCCGGGGCACATTCGGCCACCCCGAATGCAACTGTTATTGTGCCAAGTGACGTCACTATTGATAACGTCACCCAATTGACCACAAAAATAATATTTTTACGTCGCAAAAATTAAGTATTTTTTTCTTTGTATTCACTGATTTGTTCTGGACTTATTTTCCAACAGAATTGAATGAAATTCCATACACTTATTAGTAAATTGTCTTCTCTATCCTTCATGCCATACTTGCCCTGGTAGGGGCCGGATTTACCTCAGGGCGGGGCTCGTCCGGCCCCCAACTCTCTCGACCTAAAAAGTCCAATAATTCCCAAAATATGGTCTTGTTTACGATTTGGTTATTAGTTTATGAAAGACAATACATTTCTTTTCTAAATGACATATATAAATATGCATTTCAACAGTACAGTACATGCCTTCCATAACGTCTTGAAAAAAGAAAAGGGGCCGTGTTTGCCCCGGTCCCCCCTACACATGTATTATACATGTGTAGGGGAGACCGGGGCAAGTCCGGCCCCTTTTTTAAAACTATATTATAAATTACAACATATCATTATCTCAGACATCAGGACGTGGGAAATGGCTCCAGAGACGTTCTAGAAAACAAAATTTTCATGGGGGAGACCCCACTTACGGGAGGGGGGAGACCCACTCCCGTACCCTCCCCCTGCTCGCGCTTCGGGGGGGGGGGGGGGGGGGGCTGCCTTCGGCAACCCCATGTCGGGGCTTACACATGGTAAAGGGGCTAGCTACGCGCCTGCCAACTAGTGTCTAAGGTTTGTTACGAGTTAGGTCATGTCAATCATGATATTCTGATAGCAATATGAAGTTGTTGAATTATAGTGCAGAAAAAATGTTACAAGCAAAATCGATACTATTTGTTTACCATGTTGTCACCATAGCTGAGTTGCTTGTTCCTATCGTTTTCTATATATATTACTCGAAATGCTGTTTGATAGTTATGGTTTTACAAACCAACTCCACAATGCACAATGTCAGCAAAGTGCATTCCTGTAGTACCGAGAATCAATGCGGAAAGACTTACAAACGTATTTAATCTGTGAAGTATTATATAGTGCCATCAAATAAATGTATTAACATTAAGACTTTGCTATATTTCATATTTTATTATAATTTATAACTATATCTTTGAATCACACTAAAATGTCACTATGAGAACCCGATCCACCCTGGATAGAAATAATCCACATAGTCTTTGCTGAATTGTTTTCGCAGTTTTGACCCTTCCTTAGCTGGCCACCGGTAGAAAGTGACCTCCCCACCGGTCAGCCATGCTGACCACCAACTGAACGTGCCTACCGTGCTGATCATGTGGTCACACGAGCCAAGAATAGCCATGTCCACTTCAGGGGAATTCCCCTCGATATACTCCGAACGGACTCCTTTTGGCATACTTTCCTTTGACCATTTCATATCATTGGAACAAATTATATAAATAACGTTTCTTAGTTCTTTCGATTGAAAGTAGTTTACAGATTTCTGAAGGTAACTCTTACTAGCAACCATATATCCAAACGTGTGATTTACTAAATCTCCTCTTCTTATGTGAACACCTATCAAAGTCACGTTGGAACGAGATGTAAAATTATACTTTTTCAAAACTGAATCAATCACCTTGTTTTTAGTTTCTGTGATGGAATCGTGAAACACGAAATGTTTGCGGAGAGAGGTAGAAGCATTATAGAAATACATCCATGACTGGAGATAAGAACCAACTCTATAATTATTATCTGGTGGAAAAGTAACCATTTTGTCATCATATCCACAATTTAATTGTTCTCCTCTCCCAACGAATGTTTTGCAAATATTTCGGTAATTTTCTCTTCGGTCAATATCAAATTTAAAAATCTTTGTCAAATCATCAGTTTTGTCAATGGCTACAGACATTCCTTTCCTGGCAGCTAATCCATAGGTCGTCGCAAACTGGAACATTTTGGTGCCAAGGCCTCCCATCAGGATAGTGCACACACTATAATTGGCGGATTTGAGAGGCACAATGTCTGCTGGGGATGGCTGAGTTGGCATGACGTCACCATGCCAGTTTGACACAGTAATCACTTGGTTCACGTGTACATTATTGGCGCCAAATGTAACGTTCTGAATAATGGGAGGGTTTGACGTGATGACATCAGTCATGACGTCCCGTAGCGTAACGTTACGTGTCATTAAGACTCTTGACGTCACGTTGTGAGACTTGTTTGCCTGTGATGGGACGATTGGAGTCGTGGATGTACTCAGTGTGATATACTTAGTAGGTTCGATACTTGGTTTGGTGTTGCTATCGCTTAGCGTAAATAACTTAGGGACAGAGCTCTGGGTGTCGTCTAGAAACAACATGTTTACAGTTAACATGCTTTGTTGTAATGTTGTCAGAGATAAAGAACTCGTGAACTTTAATATAAATTCTCTCTTTTCCATATCTTTTTTATGATGTTCAATCTTTATTGGCTGTCGTGTCTTATCCATAAGAAATTTCGCCATCAGTAAACACGCCACCACTCCTCCTAACAGGCAGTACACAAACCCTGAAAAAAAACAAATAAAACTACTTTTGAAAGTATCAAATAAGTGAATACATATATCGATAGATAGATAATAAATTATAAATCGGGTACAGGTACTATGCGATACACCTTACCGACCTTCCATATTCAGTCAGGAATTCATACCACCTCCCGTACCCATACAAATTTGTAGTAGAATGAAGAATTCATGTGACCTTACTTTCCGTGTGATTTACAAAACAATTATCTCCCTAACACGTTTTTTTCTTTTGATCCGTGTTTGACTTAACCCCTGCCCATTTTATTTCTGAGATTTATGTGAGAGTTAAAAAGATTCGTTTTAGGAAGCATTTTATTCGTGGTTTGTGTTAGCATTAGGAACATATGTTATAGTAAATATTATATACTTGTTATGTAATATAGTTAAAATAAACATTATAGTAAATATCATACCTGTGATTTGTGTTATAGCTAAAAGATATGAGACAGTAGAATTAATATCCGTGTTAAGGATTATGTTACCAAACACGTTATATATGCCTGATATTGGAAGAAGAATTGTAATCCTTAAAATGCCTCAATTGGTATTTTGTAATAATTTGGAATACACTGCTATCAAATTAATCAATAAAAG